GATTTATATATATATATATATGTGTGTGTGTGTGTGTGTGTGTGTGTGTGTATATGTATATACACGAGGTGTGGCTATAAAGTAACTAGACGAAAGCTATATAAAATCAAAAAGCAATTGTACGGCAAAATTAATTTATTTTATTCTAAATAAGCCTCTCTTCGACATCGAAGACAGTAGTGTGTAAAATCATTGCGTATCGTGTCTTTAGAGGCGTTCGAATTCTTCCGCTAACATTCTCACAGTTACATTTGCATCAATTTTCAGTAATTTGCACATTTTTCCGACGAGATCCGTTGTTGAGCTATTTTCGGATGCCTCGATCGCTCGTTGTCTTCCATGTTTTCGCAATCGTCCCCAAATCTTCCAAACCACTCAAAAACTTATGTATGCGATAGGTTGAAAAACTTCTTTCAAAATTTAGTACATTTGTCACTTTTTTCTCAAGTTTTATATAAAACTTGATAGTCCCTCTTTACTTTATTATGTTTTCGCACGACATCAAATTTTTACTTTACCTTTCAGTCGACATATTTCATGACGTCTGATGAGAATGAAATTTTTACAATTGATAGATCTAATTTTAAAGCTTTAAAACAGTGCTATTCGTTGATAGGTGGCACTCATAAAAAAAAAGAAGAGAAAAACCCGACTACTTTATAAGCACACCTTGTATTTAAATAGAAAAATTGAAAATATTTCTTTGCCAGAAAAATAAGTATATGTGCCCTAGAAAAACTGTAAAAAAAAAAGAAAGTCGTTTACGACTCATTAATACAAGTTCAGTAATTGTAATAGAACTTATATCGATTAGGAAAATCAAAATAAAATTAAGTCTTAACTGTTCAATGCGCGCGCACTTCTTATGTGCCGCATTTTCTATACACAGTTTTATATACAGTGTATTCAAAAAGTTCGGGGACTGATTTTTTTCCGAACGTACTAACTGTGCTATCTTTTGGCCTACACTGGATCTAGTTATTATGATGTCTCTTGAATCTGCCATATTTTTTTTGCCGTCATTGAGTCGATAGTCTAAAGTTTGCGCGCGTTTAAAGTTTTTAAAATTTTTAATGTTGTCATGATTTTCAGAATAGAGCAGAAAACCTTGATTAAATCTTATTTTAAATGTGGAAGAATTGCATCAGAAACATATAAAATGATGCAAGATGGAAAAGATTGTCTAGCGCGTAGTAAAGTGTTTGGTTGGCATCGGCCCATTCAACAAAATCCTGCGCCGCCGCAACGCGCTGCTCTCTTTGCTCCGGTGTCAAAAAGCGTCGGACAAATCTCGTAAACACTGTTTTTTTGCCGAGCACGTCATGCGATAATGTAAATACTTCTCATACTAATGTTCAATTTGTATGACATTTCGATTGCCAGTAGGTGATCTTGCGCGAGAAGCGCGCGCGCACATTCGTCATTCTCATCCGTGTTGCTCGTGGAAGAGCG